TGTCTCCTTGCGTTTTCTCTTCCCCTCCTCAGCCTGGACAGTGCTTGGCTGCTGGTGCACCCCATGGCAGCCTGGGGTCAGGGGACACAGCTGCGGAATTCGTCCCCTGGACCAGGAAGCCCAAGAGGAAACACGCGACTCAGCGGGACGTCAGCTGCCTGATCGAGGGGCACACAGATAGCATCACCTCCTTGTGCGCCCCTCTGCACCAGAAGGAAAGCGTGGGTCGTGTTGCCCCACGTGGCGATGGCAGGACTCTCGTGACTGTCCTGTTTCTCCATCTGGAGAGTGGGAGGGTGGCATTGACCTGCCCCCAGGCGGAATGGCCGGCTGGGTCTCTGCTGAAGTTCTTTAGTGTGAAGTGAGACTGGGCCAGCCGGGCTCTGTGCGGGAGGAGGGTAAAGACAGATGCCCTTTCTTGCACCCCAAATCTGGACACTGCTCACCATGGGTCACTCTCTGTCCGGCAGGTGTCGGCCATCCTGAATCTCCTACGTGACTCACCCCTCCGTAGGTCAGTGATAAGACATTGTGTCCACCGGAAAAGCTAGGAGCTGGCATCTGTTGGACAAAGAAAGGGTTGGGTCCCTTTTTTACCACTGCCCTCCAGGGAACCTCCCTCTTCCCTGCCTGCCCTTTCTGGATGACAGTCTTTTAGACAGAATCATGTGTCTTTCTGTGAGCCCACAGCATGGTAGGAAGAACCCAGTGAGGAACCTGTCTCAGCTGGCTCCTTGTGGAATAGTGTACCTGAAGGTGGCCCACAGCACAGGACCTGGCCGGCCAGGGGAGGGCTGGATGTCACAATGCCACTGTCACTGTCTCATTAAATATGTGTTCCTAGGCCCGTGTGTGGGGTGCATTTGGGGACAAAGCAGAGTGTTGATGTACAAGGTTGATCGCAGGCTTTCGGAAAATGCACAGCCTTCCCCACACAGTGTGGTCGAATGGAGTCTGGTTTGGGGTAAAGTAGCATCGCAACTGGTTGGGAGGAGCACTACATTGCTGTTAGAGACCCCCTGGCCCCCGGAGCCTGCTGACAGACTAGGGGAGGTCGTTACATAAGCTCTGCCATCCTTCATTATTTTCTTTTTTTGAGAGGTTTTTGCTACAGGGCGTGTGCGCTCACCAGACAGACAGAGAGAGACAGAAAGCGAGAAACCACCCCCTAGGGGGGATGGCCACACTGCAATCCCTTCTCCATTCTCCTCTCGGAATCTTGGGCACGCATGCACATATGCCCGGCGTGTTTTAAGCCAACGGGTCCGGGACCTGAACCGTAGTTGATGTACAAGGTTGATCGCAGGCTTTCGGAAAATGCACAGCCTTCCCCACACAGTGTGGTCGAATGGAGTCTGGTTTGGGGTAAAGTAGCATCGCAACTGGTTGGGAGGAGCACTACATTGCTGTTAGAGACCCCCTGGCCCCCGGAGCCTGCTGACAGACTAGGGGAGGTCGTTACATAAGCTCTGCCATCCTTCATTATTTTCTTTTTTTGAGAGGTTTTTGCTACAGGGCGTGTGCGCTCACCAGACAGACAGAGAGAGACAGAAAGCGAGAAACCACCCCCTAGGGGGGATGGCCACACTGCAATCCCTTCTCCATTCTCCTCTCGGAATCTTGGGCACGCATGCACATATGCCCGGCGTGTTTTAAGCCAGCGGGTCCGGGACCTGAACCGTAGTCAACTACATGGGAGTCCAGCAACATAGCCATTACGCCAACTGCTGGTCCTCCTTCATTATTTTCTAGACTGCGTAAGGTGGTTAGGGTTCCAGGAAGCACTCAGCTCTGCCTGGTACACAGAATGCTCAGCAGAAGATATGTCTTCTTTCTAGGGTCTGCATGGAAGCATTGTCTCATTCATTTAAGCAACAAGACTTGCCAGTCATACAGGTGACTGCAGACTCAGCCAAAGTCCTCCTCTCCCCAGGCTTTCACCTTCACAAGTCAGACCCACGAGGCCCTCACTGGGTCTCAAGGCCATTCCCATTGCCTTGAACAGGGTGTTTTGTTTTTTAGGTTTTGGTCATAGGGTGTGATCACCAGAGAGACAGTGAGAGGGAAAGTGAGAACGCACCCCCTAGGGGGATGACCGCGCCGCAATCCCTTCTCCATTTTCCTGAGATTTTGGGCATGCACGCATATGTGCCTGGTGAAATTCAAGCAGCCAGCTCTGAGACTCAAACTGGTCAGCCATGTGGAAATTCAGAGCTTTAACCACCCTTGCCACCTGCCGGCCCCCTTGAGCAGGGGTTATTAGTAGATGGACTTTAGAAGTGTCATGAGTTTCCCTCCTACATTGGATTCAAAACTCTAGGTGGGGGCTAGCAAGTGGTGCGGTGGTTAAGGGCGCTGGACTCCCATATAGCTGACTGCAGTTTGAGTCCCTTACCTGGTGGCTTGCTTTCTCACTTTCTCTCTGTCCCACTCTGGTCAAATTAAAATAAATAAAGTTCAATAAAAAAATATATATATTTAAAAAAACTCTGTAGGTGTATGCTTTTCTGTTAAGATAGGATCTACAGTTTTGACCAGGATCTCAAAGGCTATGACTCAAAAAAATCTCAGGAATGTCTGCTTTGGAAGATGTCTTTACATCGCTCACGCCTCACTGCGATGCAGATAGGATGAAGGACTGAGCTGTGCCTGCTCGAGCACATGCTGCCTACACAGAGCAAGTAACCAGAACTGCACTCCACAGAGACGGGGAAGCTTCCCTCTCATCGTGAGTTAGGTTCTTTTTCCAGTGTTGTTATTATTATTTTTGGAGAGGTTTTGCTATAGGGTGCATGCGTTCACCAGAAAGACAGAGAGAGACAGACAGAAAGTGAGAAATCACCTCTGGGGGGATGGCCACGCTGCAATCCCTTCTCCTCCATTCTCCTCTCGGGATCTTGGGCACTCACACACACGTGCCTGATGTGAGTTTAAAGCTACTGGGTCTGGAGCTCGAACCGTGGTTGATTACATGGGAGTCCAGCGACATAGCCATTACGCTAACTGCTGGTCCCACCTCTTCTTTATATGACCACCCAGGCTGTTCCCTAGCTTTTGCAGTTATCAACAAGGCTGCAATGAATAGCCTGAGCACATGCATTTCTTTTGCTGGAAGTGCATTACACAGGGTACAATCTTTTTTTTTTTTTTTTTTTTTCCTTTTTGCCATAGGGTGCATGTGCGCACCAGACAGAAGGAAAGTGAGAAATCCCCTGGGGGTAAGGGGGGAGGAATGGCCATGGCACAGTTGCTTCTCCTCTTGGGGCTCTGGGCATGTACACACACGTGCCTGGCATGGTTTTCAAGCCGCCAGGTCTGGGGCTCAAACTATAGCCATGTGGAAGTCTAGCAACTTCACCACACTCCAGCTGCTTGCCCAGGGACAGTCTTTAAATGAGATCGCTGAGTCAAACCTGGACTTTTTCGATAGCATCAAAAACCCCTCCCTAAGGGTCGCACCGAGCTGTGTCCGCACCAGGCAGGTACAAGTGCCTATTACCCTACAGCCTTACCAACAGGGTGTGCTGCTACGCTTTCTGATATTTGTGTTTTAATTTAAATTTCTCTAAGGCATGAGTGAGGTTGAACGTATTTTCCTGTTTTAGGATCTAACTTTTTTGTTTATAAATGATGTCTTCTGCCCACGTTTTACTGGGCTTTTTCCTGCTCACTGTGAGTTCTTCACGTATGAAGGATAGTCATTAGGCATGAGATGTGCTGCAAATGCCTTGCCAGTTGCTTCTGACCTTCTTTGTGGTGTTTATTTTCCCAAGGGAAAGTTACTTTTTTTTTTTTTTTTTTAAGTTTTTTTGCCATAGGGTGTGTATGCTTGTCGGAGAGAGAGGGAAAGTGAGAAGTCTCCTCCTGGGTGGATGGCCACACTGCAGTTTCTTTTCCTCCACTCTCTCTGGATTTTGGTCACGCCTGCATATGCACCCAGCGTGGTTTACTGTGTTGTAACCACTCCACCACCTGCTGGCCCCTTTGTTTACGTTTTTCTATGACCCACCTTAATAATACTTGATTCCATCTGGATTCTGAGCCAGGCTACCGAGCCCTCGCCCACTTGCATTGGTGCTCACAAGTTCTCACTTGTTACACTTAAACCCCTGGTCCATTTGGTGCTTACTCGTGCATGTTGTGTGGTACGGGTCTAAGGTGTTCTCTTCTCTCAAATGGTTAAACAGCTGTCCTGAGCCATTAAAAAAAAAAATCCATTCCTGGACTTTCTATTTTACTCCACAGATATGACTACTACTTTAATCACACAGGCTTAATAGTGTAATTATCATTTTAATTTGCCTGAGTGTGCATGTGCTCACCAGAAAGAGGGGGAGGGAGAAAGCACCCCTCCTTGCAATTTATTTATTTATTTTTTTAATTTTTAAAAAAGAATTATTTATTTATTTCCGTTTGTTATCTTTTTTTTTTTATTTTTACCAGAGAGAGAGAGAGAGAGAGGGAGAGAGGGGAAAGTGATAAAGCAAGCTGCCAGGTCCAGGACTTGAACCACGGTCGGCCATGTGGGAGTCCAGTGCCCCCAACCACCATGCCATCTGCTGGCCCACCCTCCTTCCAATTTAAACAAACAAAAAAGAGGTATCCTGGCTGTTTTTGCATGTAATTTTTTTAAAAAAAGAATGATTTAATTTGCTGGACTCCCATGTAGTCACCCACCATTCAAGTCTCAGATCCAGCACCTTAAAACACGCCGGGCACATGTGCATGCATGTCAAAAATTCCAAAGGGAGCATGGAGGAGAGGGGAATGTGGTATGGCCATCCCTTCCTTGGGGATAATTTCTCACTTCTATCTCTCCATCTCTCAGGTGAGTGCACATGCCCTATAGTAAAATATTACTAAAAAGAAAAAAAGAATTATTTAATTTCATTATCTTTTAATTTGCTATAGGGCACGTGGTTTCGCCAAAAAAAGATGGACAGACAGAAAGTGAAGAAGCAAGGTGCCAGGTCTGGTACTCGAACCACAGTCAGTCATGTGGGAATCCAGTGCCTTAACCAACATGCCACTCGATGGCCCCAACATACAATCTTTCTAAAGTAAATAAAATATTTTTATTTACTTTTGTTATTATTATTTATCTTTTAGTTTGACCAGAAAAAGAGAGAGAGAAAAAGGGAAAGTGAGAAAGCAACCCGCTAGGCCTGGGACTTAAATCATGGTCAACCATGTGGGAATCATGTCTTCATCACCATGCCATCTGCCAGCCCCATACATTATTTAAATTAAAACTTTAATGACAAAATTTGATACTCTATCAAGATGGAAATAGCAGCTGCAAGGGCTCCAGGAATGTTAAACGCATGGGAGGTGTGAGGCATGGCTGGGCGAGACCACTGATGTCATCTTGGTGCTCTGCCTTTGGTTAACTTTTGGCTACATACACTGAAAAATGATCTAAGACAGTCACTTTGAGCTCCACTGGCTTCCATGTGCAATTCCCTGTAGCAATACACTGCATCACTGGTTGCCCCTGAGACTTCCCATTTTTGCTCATCACTGGGGCTGTTACTGGTGAGAACCTGTAAGCGAGCCTCAAAATGTGAGAAGGCTCCTGACAGGTCCCCAGTGGTCAGCTGCTGCAGGGCAGGTGGGGCATCTTCACTTTTCTCCTCTCCTACCCACTCCCATCCTAACTGCATCAGTTCTTCATTTGAGAGCTCTTCATGGGACTGCAGCAACCACCCACTTCAATCTCTATGACCTCTTTGGGGGCTAAATCCTTGGCCAGTATCACACTGTTTTGCTGAGCTATGCAATAGTACCTGTGGGGAGAACTCGGGGATGAACACACTCAGCCAAACCTTCCACCGTCAGTCCTTACTGGCTGGGACTCTTCCCAAGCAACTGCAGCATTGCCCACAGCATCCATGATGTAGTTTTCCCCAAACTCCCTGATCACAGCTGTATCCTCACCATCTGCTGCTTCTAGTATGTGCTCAAAAGTCCTTCTCAGGGGACCAGCAGTTAGCGTAATGGCTATGTCGCTGGACTCCCACGTAATCAACTGCGGTTTGAGTCCCGGACCCGGTGACTTGAAGCTCACACTGGGCGCGTGTGCGTGCGTGCCCAAGATCCCTAGAGGAGAATGGAGAAGGGATTGCGGTGTGGCCATCCCCCCAGGAGGTGATTTCTCACTTTCTGTCTGTCTCTGTCTGGCGAGCGCATGCACCCTATACAAAAATCCTCTTAAAAAAAAAAACAAAAAACAAAAACAAAGTCCTTCTCAGATAATGAGCTTTGAAGGCAGGGGCCATTCCTGACCCATAGGTTCAAATGAATCGGCTGTACTGTCATGAAGATATTCTACTCTCACATTATCAGAAAGGTTGGTCAGATTCACTGGGTGACATGGCACAGTCTAAAATGAGCAAGGCTTTGTTGGTGAGATGATTTTGGGCACAGTATATTTCTTTTTTGTTTTAAACAGTTTTTTTTTTTAAGAATTATTGTTTATTGGGAACCAGCAGTTAGCGTAATGGCTATGTCGCTGGATTCCCACGTAGTCAACCGTGGTTCGCGTCCCGGACCCGGTGGCTTAGAACTCACGTCAGGCGCATGTGCGTGTGTGCCCAAGATCCCCAGAGGAGAATGGAGGAGAGGGGATTGCTTCCAAGATGTGAAAACTGCATTGGTCTCAGGGCAGATGGGCTATGGTTACTTACATCCTCACAGAATTTAGGACAGGGAAAACAAGGCTGTGCAGTCCACAGGCCGGAGTCCCTGGAGACACCAAAGGGTCCCCAAAGGCCTGCCCAGCCTCACTACCTACAAACAGGTGGGTTCATTCTCGACTCCAAGGCCGGCCAGTTCCTGAACAGCACAGATGCAGGCACATCAAAACTGGGAGGAGGCCGCTGCTGCAAAATCCAACATGGCCAGGAGACTCCCCACCTTCTTCAGGAATGCTTGGTCCAAGGAGCCGGTGTTGGTTGCGTCCTCTGCCATCGCAGGACTCGCGATCCTGCCCTCACTCAGCCCTACACCAAGTACTCCATCATGATGAACCAGGCCACCCTACAACTACCCACTGCCACTCCGAGATGACGGGACATGCCCGACGTGCCCAGCCACCCCCAGGACCCGCAGGGTCACAGCCTGGAGTGGCTGAAGAAACTGTGAGCAGCTGTGCTGACTGGGGTCCCCAATAAAATGTGAACACCCCCCCCAAAAAAAAATACCTGGGAGGTGAAGGGACCCGGGTGTGGCCATCAGCCCTGGAGGGTGATTTCTCCCTTTCCATCTCTATCCTTTTGACGAATGCACGTGCATTATAGCAACAACCTCTCTTTTAAAAAAAAGGTGCTGGAGTCCCACGTGGTCGACCCTGGTTCGAGTCCTGGACCTGGCTTGCTTTCTCACTATCCTTCTCTCTCGCTGGTCAAATCGAATAATAAATAAATAAAACTGAATAAATAATTTTTAAGTAAAATAAAACTACACCAGTTAAAACAAAACAACCCAAAACCTGGAGGTAGTTTCTGTATAGAACCAACTAACCCAATCAACAGCCGTGACGGGGAACAGCGAAACAGGCACCGAGCCGACCCCTCCGTCCCGAGGTCCGGAGAGCACCTGTCGGGCTGCCGGGAACGCGCGACCGCGTCGCCCCGGCCCCCGCACGACGGCGGGGCTGTGCGGGATGACGCTCACTTTTCGAACCTTCTCCCATGTAGGACCCGGGAAATGCCCGACTCAAAGCAGGTCTGAAGGCGCAGGGCTGGGCTCAGCGCGGAACCCGAGTACGCTGGGAGGGTTCTGCGCTCAGCTGTGCGGGCGGGCGGGGCACCGCTCCGGTTCGGCTTCGCGGGACGCCAGGCGTTAGCGCAGACAAAGGTCCCGAAACGGCGCGTGGCTTGCGCGCATGCGCGCGGCCCCGAGCCGGCGTGCGCGGCTGGGGGTGTGGCGCCTCGGGGACGTGTAACCTGTGCTGCGCGTGCGCGCGCCCTGGAGGTGCGAGGTCGGGGGTGGGGTTGTCACATCGGCTGGGGGGGGGGGGGGGGGGGGCGGAGGGGCGGGGCTGCGTCGGCGCCGCAATGACGCCATCCGTGTGCGCCGATAGGTGGTGGGCGCGCCGGTTCTTTTGCTAGCCGTCCCTTTTCCGAGATTCCCGCTGTCTCTTGGGTACCCGGCCCACTGTCCGTTCCCCTCGGGAAACGAAAAGAGGCATCTGCAGCCTCCTTGGTTTCTTTCCGAAGAGCCAGACGCTGAGCGACTTGCGCTCGAGCCCGTTTCGTCCCGGGCTCAGCGGCATGATACCTGTTGAGTCTGGCTCCTTGAATTGCTTTCCAAAGCAGATATCGTACAGGACGCGAGAGAGTTCAAATCTGCTGGGTGTCCGTGATCGGACAGTCGTTGAGCCCAGCTCTGCCGGTCTAGTGACGATTAGTACTGCCGGAGGGCTCAGGTGCTAGGCCCTGCTTTACACGTAAGATCTCATTCACGTCTTACACCCGTCTTGTAGGTGGACTTTGCTTTAACTTTATTTTTTTAGAGGAGGGAACTTTGCTTTTTTTTTTTTTTTTTTTGGTTTGTTTCTTTTGTTTTTTGAGAGGTTTTTGCTATAGGGTGCATGCGCTCGCTGGAAAGACAGAAAGAGACAGACAGAAAGCGAGGAAATATCCTCCCTGGGGGTGGGGGTGGGGGATGGCCACACCGCAATCCTTTCTCCATTCTCGTCGTGGGATCTTGGGCACGCATCTGGCGTTGAATTTAAGCCCCCCGGGTCCAGGAGTCGAACCGTGGTCAACTACGTGGGAGCTCAGCAACATAACCATTACTCCATGTGCTGTTCCTGAGAACCATTCCTTATTTTAAGAGTGCTTTATTTTTGTATTGATAGATGGGCAGCAGTCCTAGGTGTTTTTTTTTTTTTTCTAATGCAGAATTTTTGAATTTTGATTTCCGAAAGGTATCGTGTATTTCGGACAGTAGTAAAATAGGAAGAACTCAATGATTTTATTTTTTGTTGTTTCCAGGAATAGTTTTTTCCCCCTCTCATCTCTATTCTTTTGGGAAGCTGCATGTTATTTTGTTTCTAGCAGTATCCATGAAATCAGAGTCTTTCACTTGAGGCCTTGTGGCATCTTCAGGATGCAGAAGGTTGTTCTGGTTGTTAGCTCGGTCGAAAGTCAGTCATGTGTTGGTTATGTACAGACTAGTACTGTAGCACAGGTGAGTCCCGAATCACTGAGCTGCTGTGGACTTCTTTGTCTTTAATTTGAAGGTAGGAGGTTGGATGGTGTTTGAATTCTTTCCCAGTTAGAGTTACTTTTTTTTTTTTTTTAAGAATCTTTTAACTTAACTTTACTTATTTATTCATTTAGTTTTATTATTTTGACCAGAGAGGGACAGAGAGAGAGAGAGAAAGCAAGCTGCCAGGGCTGAGACTTGAACCGTGGTCAGCCATGTGGTAGTCTAGTGCCCCCTAACCACCATGCCACCTGTCAGCCCCGAGTTACTTATTTTCTTAGAATTATTTTATTTATTATTTATTTATTTACTTATTTTAATTTGACCAGAGAGGGACCGAGAGAGAGAGAGAAAGCAAGTCTTCTGGTCTAGTACTCCAACCATGGTCAGCCATATGGGAGGCCAGCACCCTTAACCACCACGCCGCCTGCCGGGGCCCCCGAGTTACTTATTTTTATCACATTAGAGAACTACCTGTTGACAGTCTATTAACAGGGGTATCGTGGTGAACAAGGTAGGCAGAGGCTCTGCCTCTAGGCTGCTCCTTTGAGAGCTTTGTGATTTGTGGGCTCAGGGGGCCATGGAGAGGCTGAAGAGGCAGCAGCAGTCATATTGGTAGTTGAGGAAAAAGTGCTCACCAGTCAGCACTCCCCAAGGGAACCCGGTGTTGTGGAGGCATAAAAGCTGGCTATTTTCACTTGACGAGCTGTGTACTGTCTTTGATTTTGTAGAGTTAGTGCCATGTAAAAAAGGACCCAGACATTAAAGCAAGTATGTGGCATATTAAGGTATGAAGGAAAAGGAAGCAAGAGTAAGGGAAATAGAAAATCAGGCCAGCTCATGGCGGGTGGTTACGGCTGCTGGATCCCACATGGCCGATCCCGCAGTTTCAGTTCTGGATCAGACAGCTGGAAAGATACGCTGAGTGTGTGTGTGTAGGCGCCTGCGCAGCGTCAGTAGAGGACCTTGTAGGAGGGACTGCTGCATGGTCGTCCCCCAAGGGGGTGACTCTTCACATTCCCTCTCTCTGTCTCTCTGGCAAGTGCACATAACCTGTAGCAAACCTTAAAAAAAAGAAAGGGAGGAAGAAAGGGAGGGAGGAGGGAAAGACAGAAAATAAAGAGAAGGGAGTGGGGACAAAGGAAGTGCCTTGTTCTAGGTGAGATAGGCAGGCCTCTGCAGGAAGCGAGGGGTTGTGTTGGACTTACTACGCAGATGGAGTGAATGGCAGGCACTGCCCTGGTAGGTGTGGGTCCTGGGTCCTGTGTCCTTGGAGTGACAAGGGCTCAATGAAAGAAGCGAGGCCAGAGAGCTGCAGGGCCTTGCTGTCTTGTCCTAGTGAGGCTTGTCAACAACAGTAATCTGTGAAAATAACAGTGTAGCTTATTCTTTTTTTTTTTTAAGAGAGGTTTTTGCTATAGGGTGCGTGTGCATGCCAGAAAGACAGAGAGACAGAAAGAGAGAAATCACACCCCAAGGTTTGTTTTTATTTGATTTTGAGAGTGAGAGAATTTACTGAAGAGCTTCCCATTGGCCTGGCCCAAAAAGGCAGGATGTAGAAGCGGTGCTTGTAGGTTTTGGGAAGGAAGTAGCGTCAGATAAGGTGCATGTGTATGGTACAAGATACTGCCCCAGGACAGGGTGTTGGACGAATCTAGTTGTCAATGAGTTACAAATGATTGTGGGCGAGACTCACCCTCCCTGGAGGAGAGCAAACCTGGATTACCTCTAACAGACAAAACAAATGACAGGCCCCAAGCAGCATACAGCCCAGATAAGCAACAAACCAGTTTAGAAATAAGCCAGACCGTCGACCAAGTCTGGGGAAGTCTTAGGCCAGAGAATTTATTTTTCCCGAAGACAAGTTCTGCACCGCACTGGAGGGGGTTCAAAGGGCCCATTGTGTTGGTACAAGGTACTGGTCCAAAATAACCCCTCGAAAGAACATCAGGGTTTTTTTTTTTTTTTGGTCCCTTCTTAGTCGCCATTATGTCAACAGAAATAATCAACTCTATAAAAATAATAATGTGGTTTATTTTTAAGCATGAATTTGTGAGACCTAGGCCAGAGAGGAGACAAAACCTGCCTCTCTCTTGGGGTGTTTAGGTACAGGTTTTTTGGGTTTTTTTTTTGAAAGTGAGAGAATTTAGTGAAGAGCTTTCCATTGGCCTGGCCCAAAAAGGGGGAACATGTAGAAGCGGCGCTTGTAGGTTTTGGAAAGAAATGAATAACAAATAAGGGGGCTTGTATACAGTTATAAGATACTTTCCCAAGGCCAGGATGTAAGAAGAGTCTTGTAATCAGTGAGTCAAAATGATGGTGTTAGTACCAGCAGATAGAGTAATGGCTACGTCGCTGGACTCCCACGTAGTCGACTGCAGTTCGAGTCCCGGACACAGTGGCTTAAACTCATGCCGGGTGTGTGTGCTTGCGTGCCCAAGATCCTGGGAGGAGAATGAAGGAGAAGGGATTGCAGCGTGACCATCCCCCCTGGGGGGTGATTTCTCGCTTTCTGTCTCCATGTCTCTCTCTGTCTGGCGAGCGCATGCGCCCTATAGTGAAAACCTCTCCAAAAAAATAAAAAATAAAAACGTTCCTTTATTTCTTTCATGAGAGAAACAGCTAGACTCCTCCAACAGGGTCTTCACACCATGACCCACCCAGCCTCAGCCAGCCGGGTCACGTGTGCACCTTGTGCCCAGGGAGGGGCAGGACGCAGACACAGGCCTCGTGACATTGCCTCCGTGATGCAGAGCATTGCAACACCGCCATGCCCTGCAGCTGGCCAGCACTCTGCCTTGCTACTTGCCTGTAAGCGGGGCTATTAGGGTGTCAAAAGTCATCCTTTCTGTGACCGGTAGATAGCATAATGGTACATTGTGGGGCCCCCGGCAAGTGGGTCCCGGGACCCCCAACTAGTCAGCCATAGGACCCCTGCCTAGTGGGCCATGGGACCCCCACCTAATGGGTCGCTGGATTCCCACCTAGTCCACTGTGGTTCATAGTCCTAGACATGGTGGCTTTAAACTCATGCTGTGCACGTGTGCGTGCGCGCCCAGGATCCTGAGAGGACACTGGAGGGGCCATCCCCCCTGGGCGGCGATTTCTTGCTTTCTATCTCGCTCTTTCTCTCTCTGTCTCCCTGGTGAGTGCATGTGCCCTATAGCAAAAACCTCTCTCAAGTAAGAAGAATCATCCCTCTACCCACCAGACTTCCACATCCCTTTTTGTTAAGCCACAGAAAATGTGATGCTTCTTCATGGCTCTCACAAAGCTGCTTGCTTTGGCTCAAAGCAGGCTGCTGTGTGTGAGGACAGGGTGTGCTGGCTAAGGGTGCCCTCTGCGGAGGTGGGCCTGGGCCTCTCTGCTACACAGTTAGAGGGGGGCGGGCATTGGGCTGGACTGTGCGGATCACATGGAGCAGCAGACTCTAGCCTTGTGCAGGGAGAGCACCCACATCAGCACCCACTTGCCTGTAACCTGTTTCCTCCACCTCCCTCATTTGCTTGGGCTGTGCCTTGCAGGCCTTGAAAAGAAGACCCAGGTCCCACACACAGCCCAGTGAGAAGACGGTGGTGGCCTATCACGAGGCTGGACATGTCGTGGGCTGGTTCCTGGAGCATGCAGATCCCCTGCTGAAGGTTGGTCTCCTAACGTGTCTGCCAGCTGGGGTCCGGTCTGGCCTCTGGGCCTTGGCATCCACCCCACCCTGGGGCTGTCCATGTGCCAGCCTGTGGACAGAGGGCATGGGGCATCAAGGTGGCGCCTTTTTACTTGCGAGGAATGTACGTCTAGAGTTTGTCAGAGATTCCTTGGGAGGTGGAGTTTCTGGGTTGGGCCTTGGCCACCAACCACCTGACTGCAGACAGGCATTGCTGTTAGTCTCGCCTCCAAGCTCTGGATTCAGTCGCTGTCCCTGGAGCAGTGCCGTAGGGTGCAGTTCCCCAGAGCCTCTTTGGAGAGGCAGGGAGGGAAGTGTAGGATGGAGGTGGCTTCCATTGTAACCGTGAAGCTCCTTGCTGGGTGGGCAGGGCACTCCTCAGGCAGACCCCACTCTTCCCACATTCACATGCGAGGGCAGTTGGGGATGCAGCTGGAGGGGGTGGGACCGAGCAAGGAGTGATGGAGGTGTCCATCATCCCCCGGGGCAGGGGGCTGTGCCCAGGACCTGCTTCGCCCAGGACCTGCCTCGCGAGCAGCACGTGGGAGCAGCTCTCCGCATGTGCGTGATGCTGGGGGCAGGGTGGCCGAGCAGCTGTTTTGGGCGGATCACCACCGGGGCCCAGGATGACCTGCGGCAGGTCACCCAGGTAAGGGGCAGCGCTGTCCGCGCGGCTCGGCAGCTGTGCTGTAGACTCACCCTCAGCTCCCGGTGCACTTGCAGGTCGTGCAGTTCGGGATGAGTACGAAGCTGGGCCATGTCATCCAACCTTCCGCGACGCAGCGACAGCCCAGTGTAGAGGCCACTGCCCAGCTCGTTGAGGAGGCCCGGTGTCCCCTCAGCTCCGCCTGCGAGCGAACTCTGCACTTGCTAACTTAGCGCCAGGAGCAGGTGGAGAAAGCGCATAGGGTCTCTCCCAGGGACAGCCAGGTCGCTGGTCACAGGTCAGGTCATGAACAGGCTGTGCCCGTTGTCCTGGACCTGCCGAGGTTTGGACTGGCCTTTGGTGGTGTCTGGGGAGTGTGGCTTCTGCCTCAGGTCTGTCTCATACTTGGGCCGTCTCTTCCAGGTGGGCAAGCAGCTTCTGGAGAAGGAAGTACTGGAGAAGGCGGGCGTGGTGGAGCTGCTGGGCTCAGGGCCCTCCACAGAGAAGTCCACCTACGAGGAGTTTGTGGAGGACACATCCCTTCCAAGGGCCTGAGGGGCTGGGATGGTGGGGACTGGGGCGGGAGGGAGGAGCACAGAGCAGCGCATGCAGGAGAGCCCTGCCTGGCCTGCCCAGCTACTGGGACTCCTGCTCCCCAGAGCTCTGCAGAGCAGCTGCCGGGTCTCCCGAGAACAATTAAAGCGTGTAATGACCACAGACAGGCCTTTGAGATAAGGGCGCCCTGAGCCTGCAGAAGGGAGCTGGGAGTTGGCAGCAGCTAGCCAAGTTTAAGGGGAGTAATGAGTGCCCTAAGTTCCTGGACCCTGTTCCTCGAGGACAGTGGGGTCCTGAGACTGGGATTCCAACTCACCGGAATGAGGAAAGGCTTTGTGACTTCTTGGTAGGCTTGCAGTAGGGTTTTCCGAGCACAGCTGCATGCAGGAGCCTTGATTAGGAACTTTCCTGGAAGTGGCACTGACTCTTTATGAGCCTGCCCTGCGTATGGTGGTCAGTGGGGGACGTCCTGCGGTCAGCAAGGGCCATCCCTCCCCATGTGGGCGGTCAGCAGGGGCCATTCCTCCCCGTGGGCGATCAGTGGGGGCCGTCCTTCCTCGTGTGCGGTGGTCAGTGGGGGCTGTCCCTCCCCATGTGCGGTGGTCAGTGAGGGCCATCCTTCCCCATGTGGGTGGTCAGCAGGGGCCATTCCTCCCCATGTGCAGTGGTCAGTAGGGGCCGTCCCTCCCCATGTGCAGTGGTCAGTGAGTCATCCTGCCCTGTGTGTGGTGGTCAGTGGGCCATCCTGCCCCGTGTGCTGTGGTCAGTGGGGGCCATCCCGCCTTGTGTGCGGCAGTCAGCAGGGCTGTCCTGTGGTCAGTGGCCGTCCTGCCCCGTGTGTGGTGGTCACTGGGCAGTAGTCTTGTTCTATCACACAAACCCTCAAGGTTGATGAGGCAGGAAATGTAAGCGCCTTTTTTTTTTCTCCACTATGGGCATGTGCACTTGCTAGAGAGAGTCAGAGAGAGAGAAAGTGAGAATCCACACTAAGAGAGGAAGGCCACGCTGCCGTCCCTTCTCTGTGTTCCTCTCATAATTTTCGGCATACGCACCCAGCTTGATTGTCAAGCTGCTGGGTCTGGGACTCAAACCACAGTCAGCCACGTGGGAATTCAGCACCTTAACCACCGTGCCACCTGCTAGCCCAGTAAGCTAATTATGAAGGGAAGATTAGGCATTTAAAGTATCCGTTAGACTAGTGGGAGGCTCATCGGCGCTTTGGTGGTGTCGGGGGAGTGTGGCTTCTGCCTCAGGTCTGTCTCATACTTGGGCCGTCTCTTCCAGGTGGGCAAGCAGCTTCTGGAGAAGGAAGTACTGGAGAAGGCGGGCGTGGTGGAGCTGCTGGGCTCAGGGCCCTCCACAGAGAAGTCCACCTACGAGGAGTTTGTGGAGGACACATCCCTTCCAAGGGCCTGAGGGGCTGGGATGGTGGGGACTGGGGCGGGAGGGAGGAGCACAGAGCAGCGCATGCAGGAGAGCCCTGCCTGGCCTGCCCAGCTACTGGGACTCCTGCTCCCCAGAGCTCTGCAGAGCAGCTGCCGGGTCTCCCGAGAACAATTAAAGCGTGTAATGACCACAGACAGGCCTTTGAGATAAGGGCGCCCTGAGCCTGCAGAAGGGAGCTGGGAGTTGGCAGCAGCTAGCCAAGTTTAAGGGGAGTAATGAGTGCCCTAAGTTCCTGGACCCTGTTCCTCGAGGACAGTGGGGTCCTGAGACTGGGATTCCAACTCACCGGAATGAGGAAAGGCTTTGTGACTTCTTGGTAGGCTTGCAGTAGGGTTTTCCGAGCACAGCTGCATGCAGGAGCCTTGATTAGGAACTTTCCTGGAAGTGGCACTGACTCTTTATGAGCCTGCCCTGCGTATGGTGGTCAGTGGGGGACGTCCTGCGGTCAGCAAGGGCCATCCCTCCCCATGTGGGCGGTCAGCAGGGGCCATTCCTCCCCGTGGGCGATCAGTGGGGGCCGTCCTTCCTCGTGTGCGGTGGTCAGTGGGGGCTGTCCCTCCCCATGTGCGGTGGTCAGTGAGGGCCATCCTTCCCCATGTGGGTGGTCAGCAGGGGCCATTCCTCCCCATGTGCAGTGGTCAGTAGGGGCCGTCCCTCCCCATGTGCAGTGGTCAGTGAGTCATCCTGCCCTGTGTGTGGTGGTCAGTGGGCCATCCTGCCCCGTGTGCTGTGGTCAGTGGGGGCCATCCCGCCTTGTGTGCGGCAGTCAGCAGGGCTGTCCTGTGGTCAGTGGCCGTCCTGCCCCGTGTGTGGTGGTCACTGGGCAGTAGTCTTGTTCTATCACACAAACCCTCAAGGTTGATGAGGCAGGAAATGTAAGCGCCTTTTTTTTTTCTCCACTATGGGCATGTGCACTTGCTAGAGAGAGTCAGAGAGAGAGAAAGTGAGAATCCACACTAAGAGAGGAAGGCCACGCTGCCGTCCCTTCTCTGTGTTCCTCTCATAATTTTCGGCATACGCACCCAGCTTGATTGTCAAGCTGCTGGGTCTGGGACTCAAACCACAGTCAGCCACGTGGGAATTCAGCACCTTAACCACCGTGCCACCTGCTAGCCCAGTAAGCTAATTATGAAGGGAAGATTAGGCATTTAAAGTATCCGTTAGACTAGTGGGAGGCTCATCGGCGGTTTGGAAGATGGTACCCACAGGCACACTGTTGAGGCTGGCAGTGCTGCGGGCCTCGTGGCCATGGCCGCGGCCGCTGAGCGTGGGGCAGGGGACCCTCCTTGCTAGGGTGTCTGGGTTGGGAATTCAGGTGGAGAGGGAAATCCTGGCGAGGGAAATCCTGGCTTGCTCGTGTTTTGCGAGGCCGTAGCCTGGAAGGCCCCGGGCAGCCTCCTCTGGTCCTCAGCCTGCTTATTTACCCACTGTGGACTGGGCGGCTCTTTTGTGCTGTCTTATTATTTTCTGCCAGAGTAAGAAAACAGCCCTTGGGCGTGGCTATGCGGCAGTTCCCTCACTTTCTGTGTCCACTGGAGATCTGGGTGCACACACCTGGCCAGATGTGACCCGTGGTGGCCTGTGGGATCTCACTCTCACCCCAAGGCTGTGGCGTCTGCCCAGGCCTTTTTGGTGCCGTGACATGAGAGAGACTTAGGTCTCTCTTGCCGACCTGAGGTGTGATGAGGAGCTGCACCAGTGCGGCCTGAACTTGGGCCAGATGCTGTAGGGCTTGGTGGAAATGTCTTTCTTTGCACGTTTCTCCTAACCTGCTGGGATCCCACCAGCACAGGGCTACGAGTGACCTGGCAGGCATAGGACAGCTCAGGACCCTCCCTGCTGCTCTGTGAGGCCTCCTGGGTGGGCCATTAGCACTCAGCACCTCTCAGACCGGGCCAGGCTGGGGTGCAGATCTTGCAGATGTCCAAACCTCTGGGGCTTGCTCCCAGCCGGGGCGGCATTGTTGCTGCCTGTAGGGCGGATTGCCTGGCCTTCATGTCTCCTGGGCTCAGACCGCCTCATGGCTCACCCAACCCAGCTTAGCTGTGCTGCCTGGGGTGCCGTCCAGAGGAGGTGGGGTGCTCCCCGAGCCCCAGGAAGCCCTGTGTCACTCCCACAGCATCTGGGGTGGTGTTGGCACAGGTCACAGGGGCCCGTGTGGCTGGCTCACCTGTGGAGCTTGCCTGAGCAGGGACTGGCCCAGGAGAACCTGGGGTGCTCAGCACCTCAGATCACCTCCAGAGACCATGCTCTGGCTGTCCCCAACAGACACTCAGACCATCTTCCCACCGCCGCTGAGGGGTCAGGCCACGTCACCTGCCCTGCCAACCTCACCTGTGTCTGCCAGGCGAGTCTATCTAAAGTTGGAGCTGGTCCTCACCAACACAGTGGGCTTTCCACTGTCCTCTTGTCCTTCCTGGTAGGCTCCTGGCAGAGAGGCCGTGCTGGCCACAGGAGCTCCAGGACTCAGGGTATCTGCTGCCAGCTGGGCCCTCAGAGGGGAGCCCGCTATCTTCCAAGGAGCAGGCACAGCCGGCCGGTCCTCAGCCTACAAGCCTCCCGCCTTCCATGGAAGGTAAGGTAGAGTTGGGTGTGTGAGAATGTGCTGGAGGCTACACACCCTTCCCCGAAAATACAGCAGCCACTCAGTTACGGGTCCACAGGCATAGGAGACCTGGCTGAGACCTCTCCTTAGGGAGAGCCAGTGGGGAGGGGCAGGAGTGCCGTGACCTTTTCCCAAGACCAGGCAGAAAGCAGGTCAGACCTCATCTCACAGGTCAGGGAGGCAGGTTTGGCCACACCCAGCCTGGGCCGTTGGAGGGTGCAGGTTTTCTGCTTTCTTAATGCCCCTTGTGATGTGCTGGGACTGGAAATGGGGGCCAGTGTCTCCACTCCCACCCCAGCCTACTGTTAGCAGGGACAGAGCTTCACCCTCCGCCCTCTGCCCTTTAGCACACCCCTCGGGCTCTGGCATCAGCTGTGAAGGAAGAAACAGGGCTGGCCTCAGGGCTGTTAGGCTTTAATCCCACTCAGTAAGGACCTCCAGGAAGCTGCAGCAGGAAGTGGAAAATGGGGAGGAAGAAAGACCCTAGTGGGTGAATGAGGCTGCCTTCATGGGGTAGAAGGGAACCAAAGGCCGGTTTTGTGCTAAGATGTGGTTGGGCAGGGCACGGCAGAGTGGGTGCCGTGGGTCGCCTGCACAGCTGAGCCTAGGCCTGTACAAGGTTGAACATGAAGGTCAGCCCGGTTCCCTTCCCCAGAAACGTTTAGTAGGGTCAGGGCAGCGTCATTTGGCTTGGGGACAAAAGCAAGCTTGACCCTTTACTTTAAAGCCACTCCAAGCCTGGTGGCAGCCTGTGACCTCCTGCACGGAAGCTACAGCACCAGGCAGTGAAGGTGGTGCTTGCACCCCGTGGGACAGGGGCCCCTGCATCAGGCCCTGGAGACTCGTGACACGGCCCACAGAGTGCCATCTGGCTGAGGGGGCCACGTGGCGGGCAGTGGAGTGTGGGGCTTGGTGCACACACTCTTGTCAGCATGGGAGCACAAGTTGGGCGAACCACACCTGCCCTTGTAGCTGGGAGTGTCCCGAGTTCTGAGGCAGTCTGGCCACTCTTGGTGTCCAAGCTGGCGGGTGTGGACCCAGCCCTCAGCCCTGGTCGTCACTCGGGGATAAGTGCAGTGGGCACAGGTCCAAGTGCTGGGCTTGGGGATGGACCCAGGTGGCAGCAGCCTCCCTGGTACAGCATGAAGTCAAGGTGCGGTTTTGGGCCCTGTCTCACCTGTGCTTGGCTGGATAGCAGAACAGCCCTAAGCCACCACGAAACCCACCCCCAGGGCTGATGGGGACAGAGGCCAGGGACACAGGTGTCTCAGCAGCTCTCATGGGCTGAGCTTCCTCCCCAAGGGCTGCTCAGGAACCCTGCGGCAGGTGGGAGTGCTGATCCCTCAGCCACTCCATTCCTTGTCTCATCCCAGGCAGTGACTCCATGTTGTCCTTGACCCAGGGCCCAGGAGCCAGCTTGACAGGCCACTGGTTCTGCTTGTGCCGGGTGCCCAGAGGCCTTGCCTGGGCCCAGCACATCCCCAAGGGAAGCTGGGGTCTTGGCATGGTTCCACAAACAGTGAGCCTCCTGGGGCACCCCGGCGTGACCTACTGTATCGGGCTGATGGCTATGCCTTGGGAGGGAGTGTGCACAGGGCCTGGCTGTCCAGCTGGGAGACATCCCTCCCTGCAGATGGCCTAGTCCTCTTTGGGCCTCTCCACAGTGAGCAACGTGTCCACAATCGCTGCCTGGCCAAGTTCAGGGCTGCCAGGGGGCTGCTTCTCACGGTTCTGCTCGGCCCTTGTCCTTGTCCAAGAGGGAGAGCGTAGGCAGCCTGTCCGGGGCAGCGGGTGCAGACCTGGAGGACATGGAGAGAGGAACACAGCGTGACAAGGGCTGGGCACATGCACAGGGTCCTCCGCAGAGCAGTGTCCCCCCGGGCACACTAAACCCGGAGGTACCAGCAGGCAGGGCCTGGGAGGGACTTTCCTGATGTCCAGGAGAGTCACCATACAGTGCCTCAGTCCAGGCTCCTGGTCATGCAGTGACCAGCAGCCTCCAGAGCACTTGGGCCTGGCAACCTCAGTGAGCTCCTGTCCCACGAGAGTCTAGTCCTGCCCTGGCTGCAGGCTCCATGGGCGGTGGCCAAGCCCTGGCCAAGCACAACAGTGGGCTTGTGAGCTGGGCCAGGCACTCTTGGAGCCTGGTGGGCATCGGTCAGGATTAGGCAATAGGCTCTTCCTGGAAGTCAGCTGGGGCTGAGCTGGCCTCTGTGAGAATAGAGCCTGGGCCGCCTTCACTGTCCACCGTCATGCTGAGAGCCCATAGCACCAGGCCCTCCGCCCTGACACCTCCCGTGAACAGTGGGGGCTCACAGGACGCATGCCTTTAATGAAGTGCCCAGTGCCTGGGGTGGGGCTGGGCAGAGCCTAGCCAGAATAGCAAGCAGGAACTTGGCTCTGACCTCTGACCCCACAGCTGGGGCAGGGATGGAAGGTCACTTGAGTCTGAGGGTGTCACCACTGCAGGAGGCGAGTCCTGCATCTGCTCCCAGGCCATGGAGGGAGACAGGATCAGAATGACACAGGCTGTGGGCCCAGCTGCTGACTGGTCTGAGGCCTTGGGTGGGTCTCCAGGAACCAGGGGGCCTGGTCAGGGAACCGAAGAGGGGCCCGGGCTGGCAGATGCCCCCATCCCCAGCTTTGTGCTGGGCCTAATTTCTGATTAAAATGGACATCAGTGAATTCCGCTTTCTGTGGGATGGTGGCTTTGCCCTTCAGCTCGCTGGAACAGTTGAGAGGTCGCCGTGAAGGGGAAGGGCCTTGGGATTGGGCAGACTGGCTGAACAGAGCGAGATGGGGACTGAGAGGCTTGGTTGCTTTTTCTAAATTGCCAGAGGACACCTGAGCTTGTCAGGGCGGGCGTGGGAGGAAGCACTGCCCACTGGTCGTGCAGCAGTCCCCTCCTTCCTGCGGGCTCTGGGGCACACACACCAAGCCCGGTTTCCAAGCCACCAGGGACTCAGACCACAAGAGCTGGTTCCCGTAGCCACTAGGTTCCAGGGCTGACCCAAGATCATTTTTTAGACAGATTTTTTGCTGCAGGGTGCATGTGCTCACTAGAGAGACAGAAAGCAAGAAATCGCTCCCCGGGGGGATGACCATGCTACAGGCCCTTCTCCGTCTTACTGGGATTGGGGCACCCATGCACACGTGCCCAGCATGAGCTTTAGGCCTCCGGGTTGGAGACTCAGACAGCGGTTAACTACGTGAGAGTCCAGCGATGTAACCATTTTGCCATCTGCTGGTCCCAACCCAAGATTATTTTCAGAAATAAGGATTTGGGGGAAGCAGTGGCCCTAGGGCACCTCAGGAGCCCCTGCCCACACCCAAACCTCTCCTCTCATGTCCAGGCCTCACCTGCTGGGCACTCACTGGAGAGATTTTCGTCATCTGAATCGGCAAAGACCTCAGCCAGCTCCTGGTCAGACATGTCCGTCAGCTCGGTGAGGTCCAGGAGGTCAAAGTGGACCTCCAGGGAGGAGACACTGCTCAGGGGCTCTGGGGAAGAGGGCCACAGTCACTCACAGCCCTTCCAGTGAGGCCTTTCTCCAAACCCTGAGGGACCTGGGTGAATCCCACCAGGCCCACGGGTGGCCCTGATGTTCTGCAAGCCCACATAGTGAAGACGGGGTTGGAGCAGACACAGACCCCCGAGCATCGCTGTGTCCAGACTGGAAGGTGTCTGGAGCCTTAATGTCTGCAGACGGGACACTGAGGCCTAGGGCCAGAGAGGAGCCCCCACCTTCTGTGCCCCAGAGGGGTGCATAATGTGGCGGGGCTGGCACAGGGCCATACTTACGCCGTCTCTCTGTGACCTGCAGGAGCCCCGGTGCTGGTACTGGGATGCCTGCCCCTTCTTCAGCCACAGGCGTGTGGCAGCCATCCCCTGTCCCATGGGCTGGGATGCCCAAGGCAGCCTGTGGCACCTCAACCTCCTTAATCTCTGCAAGGAGAGACAGTGTTACCTCAAGTCATGTCCAGGCCACTGGCATGGCAGGTCCTTCTTGGGGCTCTGGGCACCACGCAGAGTGCCCGGGAGTGGCAGGTTGCTGTGCATCTGGGCCCTGAGACGAACAGGGAGGCAACTCCTTCCCCAAGGCCCTGGCTCTCCCATGGGTGGGCAGCATGGAGGCTTCATCCTGGCCCTGTTCCTTGCCCAGTGACGAGACTGTCACTTGCCCCTTAGTTTTGGTCCGTCCCAGGCCTTACAAAGGGCACTTTGGACATCTGTGCCCAGCTTTCTCACGTCCCTTGGTTCAGAACAGCCCATGTCCCCAGTGTGGACTGACGACACACTGCTGGGCCGCCTGGGCCCTAGTTACGACAGCTGGGTCCCACGTGTGACCGCAGCTTGGCCCAGGCCCCGCAGCTTGAAAACCCCAGGTGTGTGTGCACAGGCCCAGAATCCCGAAAGGAGACATGAAGGGACTAGCTTTCTCCATGATCCACCTCCAGCACAAACGAAAAGCAGATGAACAGCCAAAACGCCTGTGCTGCTGCTGCTGACCTTGACAGGGTGCGTGCTCACTGCGGGTCACCGCGAGAGGTGGTGCTCTGACCTCAGAGCTGGGCAGGTGTACTCCAGCTCTTTTTTCTTAGATTTTTGCTATAGGGTATAGAGAGACAGGCAGAAAGTGAGAAATCAGCCCTGGGAGACGGCCACGCTGAACTCCTCTATTCTCCTCCCGGGATCTTGGGCACCTCTGCACATACACCCAGTGTGAATTTCAAGCCTCCTGGTCCAGGACTTGAACCCTGCTTGACCATGTGAAAGCCCAGCAACATAACCATTGCACCACCTACTGGTCCCATATGCATTTTTTCCCCAGAGGTAGAATTGCTTAGATTTTTTGTTGTTTAGGGGAGAGGTTTTTGCTATAGGGTGTGTGTGCTGGCCAGAGAGACAGAAAGTGAGAAATCACCCTTACCCCCCAGGGGGGATGGCCATGCCACAATCCCTTCTCCTCCATTCTTCTTTTGGGATCTTGGGCACACATGCACACATGTCCAGCGTGAGTTTTAAGCCACCAGGTCCGGGACTTGAACCGCAGTCTACTACGTGGGAATCCAGTGACATAGCCATTACACCAACTGCTGGTCCCTAGAATTGCCTAATTTATACTTCACACATTTTGATGGGAGCAGGAGGTCCCTGGAGTCTGCTTGGGGGGTGGTCATGGTCCTTGGAAATGGGACTCATAGCAACTCCAAATGCATTCCTGGTCCCGATGCCTCGGGTTCTTCTGGCTCTTACACCTGTCCCTGAATCCTGTCAGCTTCTTCAGGGGACTCCAGGGCCCTCTGCAGCCTCATTCACCAGCAGCCCTCAGTCCCCCAGCTCCTGTGGCTGTCCCTCCCCACAGCCCGTCAGACACGTCTTCCTTGGTGCGCTTTCCCTCTGGTCCCTGGACACTGGCTCCATCTCACCCAGAAGGGACAGCACCCACCTGCCTGCCTGTCCTTCCAGAGGCCCGGTGGACCCTGCCATCCTCTTGGGGACCCCAGCCCCTGTCAGCTGGTTTCTAGACTTAAGAGGAGTCTCCCTGACTGAGCCTGTGCTCAGTGTAGCTCATCAGGGCAAGGGCTGTCTTCCCCGCCCCATCAGCAGCGCCCGTCTGAGGCCCTGGGGTATTTCCGCCAGCCTGGCTAGTGAGCCCAGCTGCTGGGTGTTGGCAAGGCTGCGGCGAGGGGTGCCCTGGGGGAGGCACAGCCAGGGCTCCTGGCACCAAGTGTACCTATGGGACCGGCCTGTCCTCTCTGACTCTGGCCAGCAGCCTAGGGGCGCCAGGTAGGGCCTGAGGTCCCAAGCACCTTCCCAACCAGCTGAGCCCAGGAGGGTGAGAAGGTAGCGGCACAACTGCAGGTCTGGTGCCACCCTGGCCTCCTACGTGAGGTCTACCTGTGCCAGGCTGGGGGGGTCCTCGTCCTCCCTGGAGCACCGCCCAGTGGGAGAGAACCAGCTGGTGTGGCCAAGGAGAGACAGAGTTGAGTGGCAGAGGGGAGCGTCCTGCTGATAGCACTCTGTCCAGCTCTGCCTGGGCGTGGCCCTGTGGCCTGACCTGTACCCTCTGCCCTCTCCAGGCGCTCCATGCAGTGAACACCCTACCTGTCCTGGTGGCCCTGGGGCTGCTCAGGCCGAATGGGTCCTAAGGGTCTGGTGTCCATGTCTCCACTGGCCTTGGGAATGTGGCTTCTGAGTGTCCTCAGAGGTACAATTACAACCACCGGTGTCCTCGCCCAGCTGCCCAGCCTGCCAGGACACCTCAGAGGGCGCGGGAGCTTTGGCTCTGCCTGAGTGGGTTGGGCAAGACTTCCCCTCCCAGCTGGCAGGGCGGCCACAGGCATAGCTGGCCTTGCCAGAGCAGGAGGCCCGTAGCCATGAGGGGTCAGTCCAGGGCGGGTGGATGAGCGTGATGTCTGGAGGCTGCTCACAGACAGGGTGGTGGCAGCCAGTGCTTTACCTCCCGGGCTGAGGGGCTGGTCCCTGGCTCCTCTGCCCCTCCTGTCCTGAAGGACCCCTCTCAGCCCCCAAGTCAAGGGAGCCTGGGGCAGAGGTAGCTCCACAGAGAACTCGAGACCAAGTGCCCCCGGGTAGGTGGTAGTGGCCTAAGAACTGGCGTGGTGGCAGCGACGTTTTCTCGCACTCGATGCCAGGCGGTCCTGCACCCCTGGTTACAGCTACCTTCGTCCTCCCACGTGTCTAGAGAGGAGCCCGAAACACTGGGTGGCTCGGCCCCAGGGGTGCCCTGACTGTGGCCAAGTCAAGGCTCTTGGTCCCCACCTGCCAGTCACAGCATGGGGCTGGGAGCAGGTGTGCTGGTTCAGGGCCCACAGAGGGACGAGAGCCCCTGGACTTGTTGGGCCTTAACCCAGGTGGGAAGTAGATTTCTAAAACAGTGGATGGAAGGGTCTTCACTCACAGCCGCCTCCTCCCTGGGTAGGACCCAGTGTCCAGATCATTCAGCAAGATTTCCAGATTCCTCCCTTCCTGAGGAGCAGGCAGTGCCAGGAAGCAGAGGTTGTCCCTCGTTTCAGGGATGGCTCACGGAGAGACAAGCACCTGAAGGTGGCAGGGGCGGTGCAGTACTCAGGGAGAGGCCCTGAGCCTGAGCTGCACGAGCCTGTCCGGAGGGGAACGTGGGTGGGGCTGTCAGGGTCTCCAGGGCTTCAAGCTGGGACGGTGTGGGCCTACATCTTCAGGTGAAGCCTTGGAGGACAAGGACAGTCAGTGGAGGTAAGGAGTCTCTGCAGACACTTCTGCTGTTTTGGAATCACAGCCAGACAGCAAGCTTCCCTCCACCCTGCCCTGGGATGGCAGCCCACCCAACCCTAACCGCCAGCCCCGCACTGGGACGGCAGTCCACTGAACCATAACCCTCCACCCCGCACTGGGATGGTAGCCCGCCGAACCCTAATCCTCCAGCCCACACTGCCAGCCCTCTGAACCCTAACCCTCACTGTGGACCCTGGCATCATGGCCTCAGACCACGGACACAGCAGCCCACATTTCTGACTCAGAGAAGCATGTCTGTCCACACCCTGATGGCACTGAGGCAGCGACGCTTCTGCAGGAAGGACGGCTTTGTGCTGGTGGGGCTTGGTCTCATCTTTGAGGTCACCTCGCATGCAGCGTCGATGCTTTCCCAGCCCTCTCTGTCAGCCATCTGATCTTTATTCTGCAAATCTGGTGCCCTAGCCTGAGTCAGTGTGGAAGAAGGAAACATGGGTCAGCCCTTGACATCCAGGACACAGATCTTCGGCTGAAAAAATACGATGGAAATAGCTGAAAGTAAAAATGCCAGGATGGTGAAGGCACCTGGATCTCACATGGCAAACTGAGCAGTTCGAGTCGCCAACCTGCAGTTCGAGACAGATGCCAGGCCCCTGTGTGTTGTGCTCAAAATCCCAGAAGGAGGGGGGATGCAGGAAGAGGGTGGCAGTGTGGCCGCTCCTGAGTCCACCCCCCCCCTCTGGTGAGAGCCAAAAACAAAAGGGTGGGGACAGATGAGGCCTGAGCCCCCAAGCAAGGTAAGTTTGATCTTGGCATATAAAGGGGCCCAGTCACCATGGAGTCTAGTGTGCCTTGAACAAACGCAGGATTCACCGGAGACAAGGGCCGAGTCCACTGCAGAAGCCCTAAGCAGAGTGAGCTTAGCATCGACCGGTGATCCCTGAATACAGAAAATGTGACTATCCATAAAGAGACCCGCTTGGCCATGTGGAATGAAGCGCTGACACGTGCTGCCTGGGTGGGTCTGGGAAGCACTCGGTGCAAGGAGCTGGACACAGGACAGACGTCAGGAGGTTCTGTTGCCGCAAGATCCAGAACAGGCAAGTCCGTGGCCATCGATGAGTGACTGCCAGCACTGGGGGGGGGGGGGAGGCGGGAGGAGGGTGGCAGTGTGGCCGCTCCTGAGTCCACCCCCCCCCTCTGGTGAGAGCCAAAAACAAAAGGGTGGGGACAGATGAGGCCTGAGCCCCCAAGCAAGGTAAGTTTGATCTTGGCATATAAAGGGGCCCAGTCACCATGGAGTCTAGTGTGCCTTGAACAAACGCAGGATTCACCGGAGACAAGGGCCGAGTCCACTGCAGAAGCCCTAAGCAGAGTGAGCTTAGCATCGACCGGTGATCCCTGAATACAGAAAATGTGACTATCCATAAAGAGACCCGCTTGGCCATGTGGAATGAAGCGCTGACACGTGCTGCCTGGGTGGGTCTGGGAAGCACTCGGTGCAAGGAGCTGGACACAGGACAGACGTCAGGAGGTTCTGTTGCCGCAAGATCCAGAACAGGCAAGTCCGTGGCCATCGATGAGTGACTGCCAGCACTGGGGGGGGCACAGGTACAGGCTTGGGTGATGACCCCTCTAAATGAGACGGTGGTGACACTGCCTCCTGAGCAAACACTGAGTGCCTGGATGGTGCGCTCCGCCCAGCCTCAGGC